TTCTGAGAGTTTTTATTCTGGATAAGAACATTATCAGACATATGACTCACAAATTTTATTTTTGCATTCTTACAGGGTTTTTTTTTTCCTCAGAGAGGAAAGATTCTTAATTTTGATGAAATCTAAACTATCACGTGTTTCTTTTGTGGATTGCTATTTTAGTGTTATGTATACAGGCACATACATACACACACACACAAAATCTTTGCCTGATCCAAGATCAGCAAGATTTTCTCCTATATTTTATGGTTTTGAGTTTTACATTTAAGTCTACAAATCTATTTTGAGTAAATTTTTTTGTATGCTTCAAGTCATGGATTCAAATTCACCTTTTGCATAGGGATATTACATTTTTCTTTCTCCATGGAATTGTCTTTGCAATTTTGTAAAAAAAAAAAAAAAAGAAAGAAAGAAAGAAAAATCAGTTGGCTGTATGTATGTGGGTTTATTTCTGAGTCCTCACTTCTGTTCCACGATGACACCATTGTCCATCTTGACACCAATACCACACTGTCTTGATTACTAAGCTTTATAATAAGTCTTAGAGCCAGGAAACAAAAGTTCTATAACATTTCAACGTATTTTGCTATTAGCTTTTATTTCTATGCTTTACTTTTATCCTTCTGCTCCCAACAGTAACCTCTCTAACGTGTTAATATACTTTTTTGTTGTGTTCTGGCAAAACGTATGGTGCTATTTCATTTACCTGTATTTTCCAATTTGTGTAAATGTATTACGTTCCTCATACTGTTTCTTACAAAACAGAATAGTTAGTGGAAAGTTAAGATCTACTCAGGTTGCTATATGTAGACTCAATCTGTAGCATCTAACTGTTGCTTGGTTGTAGGGGACCAGATGATTCAAGGGAGGGAGACGTGAGAGTTGAGCTTTGAACGCTCTGTAACTGTAAGAAACACCTGTGGGGTGACGCCTGTGGCTCAGTGAGTTAAGGCGCCGGCCCCATATACCAAGGGTGATGGGTTCGAACTCGGCCCTGGCCAAACTGCAACAAAAAAATAGCTGGGCTATCTCTAAAAAAAAGAAAAGAAGAGAAACATCTGTGATATAACGTCTTGATAACACCTTGGTGATAAGGGGCATGGGGAAGGGATTCAGCTCTCCTGAACGAGTGTCAGTGCTTGGCAGTCTCCACCCCTGTGGTGTAAATAGCCATGGGATCACTTCTGTAAGTGATCCCAGGAGAGGTTAGTCCAGATTCATTCATTCCTTCTCTCACGGACTTGTTCACTTTAACTCTTTGCTCCTCCTGCCCAGCACCCTTGTATGAAGACTGCTGAGATCCGCTCTCCTACTAAGACTATTTCTCTCCCTTGATGATGAAGACTGTCTCTCTCTCTCTCTCCTGCTAAGACAAATTGTCCTCCGGCACCTAAGGGGAGTTGATCTTGAGCATAGCAGTCCGTGTCTGGACAGTTAGATAGGCCGAGGTAGGGGCTGGGAACTAGGAGTCCCGGGCCCCGTACTTGGTATTCCACCAGGGTTCTTTCTTTTACCAGTGATGGGCACTCAGGTTGTTCCCAGTTCCCTGCCACTATCACTACCACCTCTCAAGCATGTGAGCGTGTGGACACACACACACACACACACACTCAGCAAAACAACAAAGAGTGATACTGCAGCGAGCATCTCCAGTAGCTTTCTGGACTGTGGGCACTTCCTTGGGCAACTTAAATACATGTGCACCCCATAACTCCAGCAATTTCCCTCGAAAGTACTGTCTTGAAATAGTTCCAGTATTGTCCAGAATGGCTCCACCAGGCCTCATCCTCGCCGGCACCGTGTGAAGTGAGAATTTCGCATTACCCAGCTTTTTACTTTTGGTCAGGCTAATAGCTATAAAATGAGAGCTGGCTGTTTTACTCTGCGTTTTTTTCTGATTACTAATGATTTTGAATGCCTCTTCATGTGCTTATTGGCATTCAGGGCTTGCTGTGTGTGAATTGCTCTCAATATCCTTTGCCAATTTTTTTAGAATTTACAGTGCTCTCTCTTTTGAGTTGAGCTGTGGGTGTTTCTATCTAGACATTCATTACTCTTGAGTTTTTAAATAGTGCAAATATTGACTATCTCCTCCCATATTGCCATCTGTATATTCACTTCTTCCATGATGTCCTTTGTGGGCAGAAATCTTATTTTGATGTAGTAAGATTTATCTTTATCTCCTTTCCCTCTGCTTTATAATTTTGTGCTTTTGAAGATGTATCTGATAAGTCCCCTCCCACCCCGACACAAAAATGTCATTCCTTTCCTTCTGTTAACTTTATAGTTTGATAGACTTAAGACCTAAATCTGAGAGGTCCCTTTCTGTGTGTAGGCAAGACGTTAACTCATCTCTAAAGGTAGCGGCCAAAGAGGACTGACTCCCAATATTTATGCCCTGTGTCATTCCCTCCCATGTTGAATCTGGGCTGACCCTGTGTGACCAGTCAAATGTGGTAGAAATGTCACGATGTCACTTCTAAGTCTAGGTCAAAGGAATCCCTGGGCTTAGGCTAATCATCCACTAGCTGCATGAGTGGGCCTTCTTGGATGTCCAGACCTGCCAGACGTTCAGATGATTTCAGCCACAGCAAACATGTGACTTTAATTCCATGTGAGAGCCCAAGCAAGACCAGTCACCCCACAGAACCATGAGAAATAATAATAATTTTTATTTTAAGCCACCAAATGTTGGGGTGTTTGGTTCTTCAGCAAGAGATGGCAGGAACAAAAATTAGTGCTTGAGAGTGGAGTGTTGCCATGAGCACAACCTAAAACATGCAGCATTAGGTCAGGAACGGGTGGTGGGAGGAGATAGGAAGAAGGATGTAAGGGCAGCAAGGAGGATTTCCTGTTCCACCCAGGATGTAGAAAGTGTTGTTCCCATGCTTAACAATGAGAAATTGTGTATATTATAAAGTCATTACTTTTCCTGGGCTCACCAAGGAGCTGAGGTCACAGAGCAACTAAATGGCCTGAACCCCAAGTTGGGCAGCCCCTTCCTAGGAGAAATGGGTGTTCGGACTGGCCTGCTTGGGCAGTGCTCAGGAGGAAGGGGCAGGCTCCAGAAGAGTGGGTAAGAAGATACAGGTTCAATTCTAACAAATTGTCGGAAGCCAGGTGTGGGCTGCAGTGTCAGTCTGGGATAGCATAGCAGGGGGCCCAGAAAAGGCCAGATGTGTGCA